TGTTCTTGAACGTAAAAGTCGAAATGGATTCGCCGGAAAAAAGAGTGACTATGCTTACGGTTATCGCATTACCTGAGAAATGAAGCTTGGGAAAACGAGAACCTCAGTGTATTTTCATGGTTGAACAGTAGGCGATATTCTGCTTTCGTCTCGTTCATCGCGGCCAACAACGTCAACAATGCATGAACAGCAGAGCTGTTTTGGTGATTTCAAATTTGACAATGAAGTCGATTCATCTAATTAAGTTTCACAGATAGAGGGCAGTCGGATGTTATGAAACGATGACGAAGTTATCCGTTGTTACTTGTGGCCGGAGTATCTACTTAGTTCACGCCAAATGGCATCCGATTTTATCTCCACGTGCTCTGTGAAATTTCGATAGTCCAATTTTATCGGAATCGAAAGAAACGGATATTTCACTTTCGAGCAATCACTAGGAAAACCCGTGAAAGCAGATTTTCCGTTTTCATTGTCGGTCCGCAGATGAACCACGTCCAACTGTCACCAACTATTCAGCCAGTGTCATTTCTCTTCTTCAATTGACCCTTTCACAAACCAGTCCGTTCACTACCACCACCATACCACACATCTTACGCCCACTCAACCACCCCGGTTAACGAAGGCAAGGTAGCACAATTGATTGAGTTCAAGCTTGTGTGTGTGCACCCATACAGATTACTGTACACATATGTAGGTGCGAAAGTTTGACAGCTAAAGAATGCTCCAATCTTTTCACCTCACATTGTAATCAGTGAACACACATCTTCGGTGTGTGGGGTTTCAGGCCCCGGGGACCTGACCCTTTTCCGGTATTGACGAATCTTTCAGCTCTCTTCCCCCTCCCACGTTCTCGGGTTGCCTTCTATTAGTCAGTTCATTCACAACTTCACGCCTTCGCCATGTGGAAAACTGTTTGATACGCGAAGCTCAGAGCGCACATTTACAGTCTTAACGTACGCTGGAATAGACCACATAGTGAAGTGGTGATGTGTTTTATCCGTAATCAGTGGCGAAGAAAAAGGCGAAGTGTATGTGGTGTCGGCCGTGATGACCTATGGGAAATACGTATGTGATTGCATATGTATGTGTATATGCATAAATGCGTGTGTGTGTGTGTGTGTGTGTGTGTGTGTGTGTGTGTGT